CGCAGCCCGACCTCCTCATCTCTGACTGAGTGATTAAGATTCTGATTAGAGGGGAGGAAAGGAGGGTCATGGAGCACCCAAAGAGACACATATCTCAAAGAACAGTTGTTCCTGCATAAAGTGAATAACTTCCTTTTCTTCTTCATGTGATGTCCCTGTGGGTGCTCCACTGTTGGTGACTATAAAGCAGTACTCAACACGGATGGTGGGAATCAGTCACTGCTTGGTGACTAGAGATAGGACTGCAGTAGCTACTGCTATATCTGCTTCCAATTGAGGCTTTATGATGTAGTGTCTGGTAAAAGTGTGGTTTGATGGCCAAGTGGCAGCTCAACAAATGTTCTTAAGTTGCCTAGGAAAGCCTTGGAAGTTACTTGGGCGGACTGTGCCTTTGGTGGAACTGTCAATAGTTTGTTGTGGAGGGCATGGCACCACAGTATACATGATGTTCTGTATTTGGAGATATATTGCACAGAAATTGATATGCCCTTTGAATGTGTTGCAATGGATATGAATAGGTGTGGGGACCTCCAGAATGACTGTGTCCTGTCTATATAAAAGGACAGAGCCCTGCAAATGTTGAGGATATGGACCATCACGTCCCTGGCAGATGCATGAGGTGTGGGAAAAAAATGTTGGTAGTACTATGGGCTCATTGACATGGAAAGCTGTGCTGACCTTGGGTAAAAATGTTGGGTGCAGTCAAAAGGTCATCGTGCCCTTGGTAAAGACTGTGTATGATGGACCAACCATGAGGGCTCCTATCTCACTAGGCTGTCAAGAATAACACCTTCATTAGTAGGAATCGGAGTGGGCAAGTGCTGTGGGCTTGAAGGGAGGTTTCATGAGACAGTCTAGAACTGGGTTCAATTCCCAGGAAGGGGGTGGAACTCTATGAGGAAGGTAGGTGTTCTGGAGACTTCTCAGGAACCTCATTGTTATGGGGTGTGCGAAGACAGACGATCCATCTACCTGTTCATGGAAGGCCGCTATTTCTGCGAGGTGTACTTTGACAGAGAAGATTAATAAAGCCTCCAGATTTAAGGTGGTATATGTAGTCAATAATATGATGGAGTGGTATGCTGGGAGGATCAATGTGGGCCTGCTAACACCACGAGGAGAACCACTTCCATTTCTGCAGATAAGTGGCTCAGGTTGATAGTCTTCTACTTTGCAGAAGGACAGATCTCACTTGTTCTGAACACAAGGATTCTGTTCCATGGAACCAGATAGTAGCCATGTGTGTAGGTAAAGAGTGTGGGGTTAGGGATGAAGCAATTTGCCTCAGTCCTGAAAGAGGATGTTGTGATGGGACAGAAGATGATAAGACCATGCTATGGACATCAAGTGTAGGAATGGAAACCAGGTTTGCCTGGCCCAGAATGGAGCAATCAAGATGACCAGAGTTCTGTCCGTCCGGATCTTGCATAGGATTCGGGGAATGAGTGGGATGGGTGGGAAGGTGTAGTGTAGGGGCTTGTCCCAATAGATCAGGAACACATTGCCCTGGGATCTCTTGCTTAGTCCTGCTCATAAGCAGAAGATGGAGTTGTGGGTGGAATGGACATGAACGGGATGGAGAGCTCTGATGACATTAGTTGCAACACCCATTGGTCTGATGTTATAGCTGTCCATTGAGCTTGGAACGATCGTAGGCGATGGTGGAAGAGATAGGTGACATGTTTCATCTCTGTAGGAAGAACTGGTTGAATACGCTCAACCGAGAAGTCAAACCTAATGCTTTGTGGCCACCAGATTGGTCGTATGGTGAGACGGGGGGTTTCTGTGTTGTGAGCGCTACTTTGAATGGAATTGATCCGAGACTCGATGTTGCGGTCCCTGAAAAGTGTAATTGTACCTACTTCTTTTATATGGGTAGTACCTCTTGCACCTAAAGGGAGACGTGTACATCCCAAGGGTACAAAGCGTCATCCAACAATCTTTCCCCAAATGGAGGACATCATCCGTTTTGTCTGCGAAGAGCCTTTTCTTTTCAAACGGGAGGTCTTTAGGGACTGCAGCCAAAGCAAGCCAGGATGATCTTCTCATCGCAATCGCTGTTGTGGTTGTTCACACGGCCGTGTCTGCCACGTCTAGGACAATCTGCAAACTTGTTCGCAATGATGCATAACCCTCTTGCACCACCACAGATTTTAAAAGTGACTTCTTTGAATCCGGGAGATATTGCAAGAGATCTGCCACGTTGGAGTAGTTATCAACGTTGTGATTTGATAACAGAGCGGCATAATTTGCAATGCACAGGAGGAGCGTAGCTGATGAATATACCTTCCTGTCAAAGATGTCCAATTTTTTAAAAATCAGGTGTCATGGTCTTGTACTGCGGTGCCTTGGCTCGCTGTTGTGCTACATCAACCACTAATGAGTTTGGTTGCGGATGACTGAATAAGAACTCGAGGCCTTTGGAGGGCACAAAATATTTTTTGTTCACTTGCCTGTTAGTTGGTGATATGGCAGCTAGGGTCTGCCAGATGTCTTCGGCAGCCTCCATATTGGCCTCATCAATGGGGAGAGCAATCTTTGAACTTTGCTGAGGATGCAAGTTTTTCAGCAATCGATATTGTTTGGCCTGCACTTTGGCCAATTGGTCCTCTTGGGACTGAGCCAACCGCTTGAAAAGCTCTTGAAATTGTTTCAAGTCATCTCACAGGGACATATCCACCAGGAAAACCGCCTCATCAGGGGAAGAGAAGGAACTGTCTGCTACTGGTGACTCTGGTTGCTGATCATCTGCCTCCGATAACTGACCCTCTTCCAGCTCCGAGAGCTGAGTCACCATGAGTGTGCTCTGCGAGGGGGGGGGGCGCGTTGGTTGGTTGGTGTCTCTGCTGCTTCTGCGGTTCCACTGGAGCAGACTGATGGGCTGGGGAGCGGTAAGAGCATGGAGATCACTGATGTGACTGAGTGACAGCAGCAGCGCGGAGAGTAAGCCAACCTATGACGGTGGTCATAATATCGGTCCAATCAAGATGGTGACCTGACGCTATCATGCTGTCTGCTGTAACCGATGTGAGACTATCGTAACGGAGAGTAAGAATAATGTGGTGATCACCCACAGGAGGAAGATGGGGAATATGACTGGTGCCTGTAATAATGACTGTCATGAGACCATGAGCAGTCTCGGTATGGAGATTGAGGCCTCCTCCGAGAATAGTAGTGATCTCTAGGGCTGTGGTGACGATACATGTGCTGCAAGGGAGATGGCTCCAACGGAAAAGTAGGAGAAGGAGATATAGGACTCCTCCTCAATGCGCATCTGGTCCAGGGCTTTCCTCAGTGCCAATGCAGTTGTGCCCGGTGATGATGTTGGCTGCTCCTGGGGCAGCGTCGTCAGTGCCGAAACCAGTGACTCGGTGTCGTATCACTCCTCTCTTGGTGCCAGGCGCTCCAGTGCCGACAGCAGCACTGTCATCGGTGCCAGCTGTTCTTGCGGGGCCGGGCCTGCTAGTGCCTGTAATGGACAAGGGCCGCCATCCAGTGCCGATGAAGGTTTCAGTGACAACAGCGACTATGCCGGAGCTACCATTTTTTTGGCTTTTGTGGCTGGAGCTGGAGCAGAGGAGCACAGGACGAGCCCAGAAGTACACAGCCTGTCTCCTCTGCTGATTCTGGTGGTCTCTTCAGGAGGCAAAGAGTGAGTGGGAGACGCCCTTTTCTTTTTTAGCACGGCTATATTGTGAGAGGAAGCTCTCCGCCTCTGCGTCCCTCCCACTGAGAAGTTGCTCTTGGAGCATACAGTTGAAGTGACTTATCAAATAGCAGCATCTTAAGTACATTTCTCTGTTACGGTGAGCTCTGGCCATCAGCTTGCTGCAATGTGCGCACTTCTGTGGGATATGGGCCTCCCCCAGACATCGTATACAAGCGGAGTGGTCAGCAGAGGCTGGCATCGCCTCATGTCACATTTTTTGAAACCTGGTGACCCAGGCATCGCACTATAACTTTGTGAGTGTGAGTGAGAGAGAGAGAGAGAATGAGTGAAGGTGCCGCTACCTCAGGGAGGGCAGCAAAGCCACAAACAGGAAAAGAAACAGGTTCTTGGGTTGTTTTTTCCCCCCTTAATACTAGAACTATAAAAACAAACTACATGTGAATAACTAACTAAATTTAACTGTCTATCTACAGGAAAGAGTAGGTCTGATGAGAAGGGAAGAGAAGCTCAATCTATGCGCAAGGATGGTTGGGAGGAACTGGCGGGAGCCAGGCCATGTGTGACGATCAAAGGGTGCGAATGGTGCAAGACACTAACCGCGCATGCACAGCCCGGCTGTCTACGGCTACTGAAAGTCTCTGATCTGTGGTGCTGGGATGAGCCCAACACCTACAGTGGAGCATCCATGGGGACCACTCGAAAAAGAAGTTACCAAAACCTTAAATGCTTTTCACAAACCTTAAGAAATCCTGCTCTTTAATAAAGAAGGTATGATATAAGACATTCATATAGTTTAATTAAAAATGAAAGTTGAAATTTACTTTACCTCAGAGTTTGCTCCTCTTTTTAGAAATCGAGTTCCAGCAAATTTGCTTGATCTTCTAGCTATCAGAGTGACATACACTGGACGTCCATAGATTAACAATTCTTGTAATTAAGGTTAAGGTTTACACATTTTGTGATTCCAAAACCTTTCATTTACTTTAGTCCTGGCAAATATTAAAATATAATTCAATCATAGAAAATATATTTCATTCTGCTTTTTTTCTGAAAGGAAACTATTTAAAAATAATTTTTAAGACCTCCAGCAATACAGGTGAGCATAATTACTTTTTTACTCTTTCAAAATTCTTTAATGGGTGGGAGAGACATTAATTCCCTTTTCAATAAATCATTTGTATACTGCTTTCCATTTTCAAAGCTCTTTATAATAAATCAACTAATCTTCACAACCACCTCAGGGAGGAAGATAAATATTAATTCCAGTTTATAGAAGGAACAGTGGAGACAGAGCTATTATTAGATTTATCTAAGACCCCAGAAGGAGTCTCTGTCACCTCTGAAACTCCTAATCATATATATGGGTTATCCTCCAATGATTTCTCTGGAAAGCAGTTCACATACAACAGCTGCAGTAATCAGATTAGGTAAAAGCCATAGAAATCTACTATAGAAGTAGTGGTAATTTGACCTCAGTGTAATACTTTGCCAGGAATTGAATTAATCTACTCAATCTTTGGTTGCTTTACCTCAGTGGTTCCCAACCACCAGCCTGCACACTGCCAGGCCTCGCCCATGCCTTGATGATTGGCTCGGCGGGACTCTGGAGCAAGGCCCAGTCTGCCCAGAAACTCTCCTTCCCCTCTCCCTGGGATTGCCTCTTCTCCTTGTGCCCAGTGCTGTGATAGCTTCTCTGCATGGCACTGCCTAGATGTGGGGGACACTACCCAAGCCCAGGGCAGAGGCTGAAGTGCAGCAGGTTGCTCACTAGGACTCTGCAGCAGCAGGCAGGAGTTCTGGGAGCAAGGGCTGGGCTCAGCCACGACAGCACGAAGCAGCTCACAGCTGCTGCTCGTGGTTACTCTGAGGCCAGGTTCTGGGGGCTGCTGCTAGGTCCCCAGAGCCTGGTCTGCAGCCAGGAGAGGGAATCTCTAGCAAAGCCAGTCCCGCTGCTCCCCAGGAACCTCTCCCAGGGCAGCATCCTCAGCCTGGCCAGCCCCTGCCAAGCCCAGCACTTGGGGGGGCAGGTAAGAGAGACTCCTCCCTCCCCCCTGGGAACAGTGCCCCTGGTGCCCTGGGGCTGCAGGAGAAGAGTTTGGTCCTGGATTGCTCCCAGGGGAGCTGGCTGTGATCGCTGCCTAGGGAAGCTGCCAACCAGCTCCCAGCCTATGCGGGGTGACAGGAGCCAGCCCTGGGGGTGGTGAATCAGGAGGAGGCTGAAGAGGGGCAGGAGCAGATAAAGAGGGTGACAAGGAACAGGGATGTGTGAGGCAGGGGCAGGAAGGTGATGCAGGAGGCACTGACAGGAGATTGAGGGGATTCAGGGGAGATTTATGGGGCAGATGGGAGCAGGGGTGCAATGGAGCAGGGGATCACAAGGAGGCAAAGGGGGGATACAAGGAGGAGAGGCTTAGGGGAGACTGTGAGAGCAAGAGCAGCCTGGCTGGGGAAGGGAAAGACACAGGGCCCGGGTGGAACAGAAGGAGACCGGGAAGCTACAATGACAGCTCCCGCACCCCATGGCGCAGGATGGGGGGAATGAAGGCAGAGGTGACTGGTGGTAGCACTTGGGGGTACCAGCTCCTATGCCCCTGACAAAATTTCAGTTGATAAATAGGGTGTCCCACATGCCCCCTGCCCCTGTGGGTCCCCCTCCCTGCACCCCTCTGCCTGCAGGCACCAGTTGCCCCTGAGGGAGGGGCTGCCCCACCTAGCACCCAGAGGGGAATTTTAGTGTTTTAGATATCTGAAAACTCTGATCCATTACAGCATGTATTATGCACATACAAATGCAATGTAAAATAACAAATGATCCCTTAAAATTAATTACCATAATTAATATGCAAATAAGCAAATAAAATGTTACTTGTCTGCCAAAAGTTCGTGAATGGGTTTGCCGGTCTGCTGTATAAAAAAGGTTGGGAACCACTGCTTTACATACTTAGGTGAGTCATGTACATCTAACTTGTCCTTCACCTTTTCCTGAAAACTGGATCTACATTTGGTAACAGTTTTGTCATTCAGAAGATCTGCTGTAAGTAGGCATTAAAAGCAATTATGTTCAGAAATCTTGAGTTTATTTAATGTTTTAATGTTTATGCAATAAAAACAGAGGGCCAGATCCTCAATACTTATGAGGCCACATTGTGTTGCAATCTTTTGGCTATAAAGCAGGCATAACAAGGCACTGAAATGAGAGTGGGGGAGAGAAAAATCAATTCTACGACACCAAACCAGGTTAGAGGCTATGTTCAGCTTTCACATCATACTCCCCCCATCAGTACCCGGTCTAGATCGGGGAAGCTCATGCTCCAACCAGTGCACCACATTCAGTGTTGAATCCTAGTCATGTGGCCATCTGATGCATGTTGTGCACCTGCAAAGAAGTTATCAGATTTTTGCTGCTGGCAGCACAGTGGGACTAGCCAAGTTACCCCTGTAAAAACACTGATTTTTGGTTACCATTTTGGCCAGTTGAGACTTGGAGTTGCTCCTGAAGGCTATAGGAGCCTTGAAACTGTACTAATTTATGCCTGAGAAGCAGTCCTCCACACAGCAACCCCAGAATCACAGGAATACATAAGATAGTTTCAGGCCACCTTTGCAACTTTACCCACCTCGTTTTGTGTGTTCCTTAACAACATCCAATTATCTGAACCCTGCATTAAAGGGTAGTTTGATACAGTTTATTTAAAAATCTAGTTATCCTAATTTAGAGATAAGTATCACTGTACTTCCTACCCCTGCACATGACAAGCCCACATATTTTAGAAAAATATTATTTGATTTGATGATGCATAACTTTATCGGTGCAAAATTACATATTAAAAACTAAGACCTCAATGCTATGAATATTTACACACAAGGAACAGGATTAACTCACATGAAAAATTATTCTCTTTGTAAAACAAGTTTTTTTTGGTCATGAATAGGCTTGTATATTAATGGCATATGGTAAAGATGATGGATTAAAATAAGCCCACTGTAATATGATAGATACTTTGTTAAGAAGATGAAAGTACGGTTCATTTAAATGATATATATATATATTTATATTAATCATCTATATATTTTGTCTGTGAATCTGCTCAAGAACTCTTTCTAAACAGTAAGAGGTAGAGCCACCAAATTTGATATAC